CACACACACACAAGGCGTCTCGACTCACCCTGGAGATGAAGACCCCAGCGTCGCTGCGCTCGGGTGCCGAGGGGTTCCGCGCTCCTCCCTTGATGGACAGACCCAGCTTCTCCCCGGCCTCCTTGCTAATGCTCAGCTCCTGGGGACACGCAACACAACACGGAACGTCAGCATCAACAAAAGCCAGCAAACCTCGTCCATTTTGTTTTAGTTTTAGTTTTAGTAAGAGTTTTATGGCACTTGCAACACAATAAGGTCATATAAGTGCTGAAGATTAGAGGTGTTACAAGTGAGTAACAAACACAAAAAGGAGGAGGGGAGATAAAGACGATAGTTATTTGATAGGAAAGAAGAAGCCAACCACACCAGAGCACCCGCCAACCACCCACTCGTCGATTTTGAGCGTAAGAATATCTTGGTTTTAAATAAGAGTTTTACGGCGCTTGCAACACAATAAGGTCATATAAGTGCCGAAGAAACAAGAGAGTAGCAAACACAAAACAGAAGGAGAAGAGATCAGGACGATAGATGCGTAATAATTTCAGATTTGGTAAGAGGTTGACAGTGCTTGCGACACAAACTGCTGGTCGTATAGGTGCTGGAGATTAGAGAGAGGTGTTGCTAGAGACTCTAGTTTCAGTAAGAGTTTTTACGGCACTTGCAACACAGATAAGTTGTACACAAGCCGATGATAAAAAGTGTTACTAGAGTGTAACAATTACATACAAAGAAAAGAACAGGGAGAGAAAAGGACAGTAGATGTTTGATAGAAAAGAAGGAGCGAATCCCTTCATAGCACTTGTCAGCCACCGGCGGATTCTAAATAATTTTTTTTTGGGGGGGGGGGGTTGAGTAAAGAGAAGCACATCGACACAATAATGGTCATTTAGTGTTGGGAAAAAGTAAGACTGACAGACAGAAATAACAGAGAAAAAGTAAAGAAAAATAGGATCTACCAGTGGCACCCTCCAACCCCACCAACAGGCCTTATTAGCTGAACATTAAGGCGGAAAAGCATGTAAAACTCAGGGACGGAAACTGATGAGTCCAAAACTTACTGAACTATTTGTGGGCTATACAGATTGGGAAAAATACACTTATCCAATTGCATATTAGTACACATAGTAGAATGACTCACCATGGAAAGGACACTTACGGAAAATGACCGAGCAAATCAAAATTACAGATGTCTGTATATCGACGGAAAATTTCCATCCCTGAAAACTTCCACACTTTACCAACAACTGTATAGCTGCAATGGTAGATGTTTTACACCCTCATCAACACTATTTGATAATTATAGATAGACAGATAGCATTCGTATTGTGCAAATCCCCGCTCAACAGCAAGCTCTATGCGCTTCACAATCTGTACTATTACCCCAGCAGACCTGAGAGCATTCTGAAACAACCTCAACTTCTTGGGAAACATACAGTGCAAGCAGCCATTTATAGGCGCTATTTACATCAGTGAGAGCCAACTTGGAGAAGGAGTTACCAGTAGCACCCTCCAAACACCCACCAATCTAGCTGCATGAGACTACCCTGGTCTTTCATTAAGTTGTCCCTTGAACTCTCATATACTTGTTTTTTCTACATTTCATCATTAAGAAAAGAAATACAAAATCAATTTAGAATATTTTTAAAAAATTACAACAACCCAAGCACACCCAAAAAGCGGGACCTGCAACCAGCAAGGGAACTCACAGACACAGGAAATCAGAAGAAAAGAATTCCACAGGGGGAAAATAATCCGTACCAGGCAGAAGAAAATAAAATCAAAAAAAAAAGAACAAGAAAAAAGAATTGAGAGTAAATGGGAGGTGGCAGGGGCTGTGGGGAGAGAGAGGCAGCTACACTGGGGGCGTAATACAGAGACAGCTGCACAGTAACAAGTTTGAAAAGAAAGAAAAAAGAAAAAGAAAAAAAAAGTAAATGTAAAGGCGTAACGTCCCTATCAAAACTATTACGTTATTCGTGACGCACGACCTAGGAATTTAAGACTGAGCTAAATAAATGAGTTGAGAGCCTTGAAAACTCCATAAATAAAAAAAATGGCCCACGTTCAAGAATGCAAAGTCTGAGATTCGAACCAGGGCCATTTGTCCCATAGTACAGCATGATACCAACTGAGCAGCGCCCCCCCCCCCCCCCCAATTCCCTGATCTCTAAAAACAAAACAGACTATTTTTCATTTTCATTATGTAACTAAATAAGATAGAATAAAATAAACTGAATTAAAATAAATTAAAATAAAATATAAGGTAAAATAAAGTGAAATAAAATGAAATAAAAACAAGTGAAATGAAACAAACAAATCAAATCAAATCAATAAATAAAACACTATTTCTGTTTGTCTTTTCCGAAACTACGTCTGTATACAAGATGGAGTACAAGTACACAGAAACAAGTACACCTGAAGCAGAAGGCAACTACACCCACGTACAAGAAAAGGGGGGTAGCATGGGGTACTGGCCGCTAAATCTTGACGATTTGACAGGAAACTTTAGTATTGGGAAGAGTTTTACAGCAGCTTCAAATGATTAAATTGCAGGCCACTTTCTGAATACTGCTTTATTTTTGGTGAGAGAGAGCATGCTGAAATCGTTTTGTTAGTCCTGCTGGCTTGTTATCAGATATGGTGGAGAATGGTACAGGGTTGTTGTTGTTGTTGTTGTTGTTGCTGCTGTTGCTGCTGTTGCTGCTGTGGTTGTTAACTTAAATGTCTCTCGTTTTAGTTTTAGTGAGCGTTTCAAGGCACTTGCAACACAATAAGATCATATATATATAAGCTTAGATTGTCACAAGGGAGTAACAAACACTTAGAAAGAGTAGGAGAACCCACGCTTAAGTCCAGTAATGAAACCCACTAAGAGATCTGTCGGCACCCACGAAGGTTTGTGACAAAAAATGGCAAATTGAAAACTGATGACAACTGACTTGTATATCTCCACCCAAAAACGGGACAAAAACGAACAAAGATCAAGGAGTATAAATGTTGGGCATACGAACAGACAAACAAGAGAGGAGACTGGTCTGGACATCGACAAACAGGAGACGAATTTCCCAATAACAAAAATACACTACATTCCACGACACCTCAAAGACACAAGTTTCTATTCTCACAAACTTGTTAAAAACCCAAAAGTAGGTCAGTCTACAAAAAAAAACCCAATACAATAAAACAAACATTTGCGTCTTCACAAACTACCAGCGGTCAGGCGACACAAACTGATGGTAAAGGACTGTTTTTCTCATAGAAATTTTTATACATATACATAGATATTATATTATTTATATGCATAATACTTTGTTGTTAAGTACAGGCATTTCGATTAATTTTTAAGATTTTAAGATGTGGCGTCTTTTTTGATGTAATGAGCATTGAGCATTTTTTAGGAAATGGAAATGTATAAATGCTATTAATTATTATTATCATTAAGGATCATCAACTAAGCAAGACTTCCTATGACAGTCATATCAAAAGCCATTAAAAGCTCAGAATCTCCAATTAGGCGCCGCGTGATGTTGCTAATGTTGCTTTTGAAAACTGTGACATTTCCAACAGGTGCAAAATGATTACAGTGGTAGTCTGACGGTGGCCAGTGCGACATGCAATGTTACGTCATTATGTGGACTGCAGCTTAGGGGTTTGTTAGACAGCTGGCATATAGTCACCATAGCTCTCTCTTTCTCTGTCTCTGTCTCTCTCTCTCTCTCTCACTCCCTTTTAAAACTTGCTCTCTTTCACTCACTCGCTCGCTCACTTTTCTTTCTTTCGCTCAGTTTTTATCTCTACTTCCCTCTTTCTTTCACTTACTGTTGATTTCTCTTTCGATCACTTATCTTAAGTCCTTTCAAACACTCTTCAATCAACCTTGTATCTTTCACTCATCATACATAACTCGAACGACACAAAATATAAATATGGTGTGGAATCCCTTTAAAAACAAAAAAGTTCTGAATCAAAGAAAGACATTTTTTTATAAGACAACATTTGCCCCATACCTCGGTGAAATAAGGGGGGGGGGGGATGTTTCACATAAAAGAAAGGGACAATACTATCTATCCCAGTATCCCTGCATCTTCCAGTACCAAGTTTTTCCATGCACTTTACAGAGGGCAATGTACCCACCAGTATTATGATGCACTTTATGGCAGCTGGTGCACCCAGTACTGTGGTGCACTTTATGGCAGTTGGTGCACCCAGTATCTCTGTGCACTTACAAAGTGACAAACTGGGTGGACAGTAGCATCACATACATGTACACAACACATACAGACACAACACATACAGACACAACACGTCATACTCACTACACACACAGACACAAGTCACCTATATCACTAAATGGCCAAAGATTTTCCTTCAGCTATATCATTAAATGGCCAAAGATTTTCCTTCAGCTATATCAGTAGATGGCCAAAGGTTTTACTTCATCTATATCACTAAATGGCCAAAGGTTTTACTTCATCTATATCACTAAATGGCCAACGGTTTTACTTCATCTATATCACTAAATGGCCAACGGTTTTACTTCATCTATATCACTAAATGGCCAAAGGTTTTACTTCATCTATATCACTAAATGGCCAAAGGTTTTACTTCATCTATATCACTAAATGGCCAAAGGTTTTACTTCATCTATATCACTAAATGGCCAAAGATTTTACTTCAGCTATATCAGTAGATGGCCAAAGATTTTACTCAATGTAAAAAGTTCAACAATTCAGTAATATCAGTAGATGGCCAAAGGTTTTACTTCAGCTATATCACTAAATGGCCAAAGGTTTCACTCAATGAAAAAAAAAAAGTTCCTCAACTATTCAACTTCAGAAGGGGGTTAAGCATTGTATTCAATTTTTTTTAATGTTCCTCAATTCAGCTTAAGAAAATGCATAAATGATTGTACTCAATTTAAAAAAAAGGTTTCAATTGAACTTCCGTAGTTGGCCAAAATGGTTTAAAAGCCCTTCACCAGCACAGAAAAAAAAAATACAAACGGCAAAGGGGACACAACGACGTTTTTGAGAAAAATGGGGACGGGAATGAATAAGGAAGACAACAGTTTGATCTTTCAGGGGAAAAAAAAAACAGTTATAAGAATCAACAAATTCTCTCAGTCTGCTTGATTTGTAGAGATTTTGTTCAGATTTTTCCACTAACTACCTTTCATGAACCCAGGCAGAGGTGACATTTTTCTTTACAGAATAGAAAATGATTTGCCAACATAAACGGAGAACTTAAAAGAAAAGAAAGCACCTCAAAGAAAGCACCTCAACCACGTCTATAATCTGCTCAGACATAATAGTCCATAAACCGTATAACGGTATTCTTCATCTTTTCTTGTTTTCTTTTCCCTTTATTTTCGTACTAAAACAGACCTCTCCACAAATTGTTGACTTGACAAAGTAAAAAACAAGTAAAGCTCAATAAAGATTCCAACAGGTACCAAATGTTTTCAACATGCTTACAAACTATTGACGACGGTCACAAGAACGAACGGATGGTCACAAGAACGGTTACAAAATATCCAATAGTTGTCTGTGAAGTGTGAAGAAAAGCTAGAGAAAAAGTGATAATTCCAAGAAAGTTTTGATTGGTACAAGATTATATCCAGGTGGGATGGGGAGGAGGGGGGGAGGAGAGAGAGAGGATCTTGACATGTTGCTCACCAACATAAAATCTCCAACATAAATTTGTTCTGAATTCTGAAAGTGTGACAGAAATACATAACAGTAACTATAATCGCATGACAACATTTATTGAAAGAAAAGTTTCCTTTTTAACCTTAATCTATATAACATCAACAATGATTGGGAAAAATGGAAAAGTAAATAAGTGTAACCATAATCGCATGACGTCTTTTTGATAAACGCTTCATTCATAACTCCAAAATATTCTTCGCGGCAATCGCTCTGATCAAAAAAGAAAGGCCAGCCAGCAGTTTCTGAGGTATAAAATTGTCCATCATGGCAATCACTCCTGCTGCTGGCAGAGCTTTCTGTCCTCTGAAAAGTTAGCACAAAGGAAAAGTGCTGCAAGCCTCTAGATCCCTACAGCTTTATCATCCACCACTGCCATTATAACAGAACCTTCTGAACAAGATTACGGTAAATCTTTACTTGCCAATAACTCTGTCAAAAACACTTTCATTTCCACACTTCAAAACAAGATCTGGATAAATGTTCACTTGGCAATAACCTCCAAAGGAACGCTTTCACTTCCACACTTCACAACAAACATAATGGGATTACAGTGCACTTCTATCACGCGGTGCTCAAAACCAACCCAAAAACAAAAGCAAAACTCAAATCAAAGATTCATTCTCAGCACCCACATCTACTCTATCTACTACACCACCACCGCCACTGCTCTGCATCAGGGTTCATACTGAGAAGATTTTTTTTCCCAAGATTTCTCCAAGAATTCTAAAGACCAGATTTTTTTTTCCAAGACAAATAACGGGTCAATTTGGAAGAAACTTTTTCATTCAGCATGCAAAAATACATTTGGTACACTACAGACAGCGTAAAGTCAAGGTCTTCTAAACTTCGAGAAAATATTTTTACAATAGATCTAGATCTAGTTAAAAATTTGTTTTCCCAAGACTTCCAAGAATTTTGCCGACTTCCCTAAATTCCAAGAGTTTTCCATGTCTTGGAAAATAAAAAACAAAATTCCAAGAGTTTTCCAGTTTTCCAAGACTCGTACGAACCCTGCTGCATACAGAACACACTACCCAGCCCAGTTTGTGGCAACGACAGACGACAGCAGCAGTAGTAGCAGCACGGTACAGCAGTGAACCTACCTGTAGTCCAGGGGGCGGGGGGTCGTGCCTAACTTTGAGGTGGAGCTCGTAGGTCGGGGAGACCAGGGCCATGACAGCTTCCTGGTGGGTGGCCTGTCGCAGGTCTTTGTTGTTCACCTACACAGAGTGCACCAC